CAATGATAATACCAACATGGGCCAGTGAAGCGACATCCTCCACAACTAGACTGAAGAACAAAAGGACAGCAACTTGTCTGTCCCCCTTCCCCGATTCTGCAACGCTGTTCCCCTTCCCCAATTCCCCAATAAAATCTTAAAGAAAAGCAAAATGCAGATTAGTGTAGTAATCTAAAAAGACAACTCTGATTACAAAATACTGATAGTCAAAACACTATCCTTGCTGAGGGAAGAGGGTTATCACTTTGTGAGGGGTGTAAATGTCTAATTACATTGTTTTGTACACCTGAAACTAAAACACTCTCTCTCTCTCTCCTTGCAAGCTCTACTGTATATAAAACAAGGCCAAAAGTCCAGGGAGACTGTGTATAAACGTAGCTTATCTAGCTTCACCTTTGGCTTACAAAGTGGATTTTAAATGGTAGCACATCATTGTGTAAAAAAGTCAACGTCACCATTTCATGCACAGCAGTATAGATGTTTTCCAAAGGTTAAAACATACACTATTTTATCTCATTTGATGCACATCAGTCACCTTATGAGGTAGGTAGCACATTGCTTTTTTATAGCTAAGGATATAGATAAATAGGTAAGAGTTGCCCACAGTCTAAGAGCTAAAGTGAAAAAATATAAATAACAAATCCAGGTTTAATTACTTCTATGCTCTTTGTAATAATGCTCAATGAGTTACCTAATGCCTTAGAAATTATCTCCTCAATTATAAGAGCTCTATTTATGATGAATATCATCAAATCACTTACCAAACTTGCCTCTAAGTTTGGAACATTGTAAGTCTCAACAAAGCTAGAAACTAAGTAAATACATAATTTTTTTTCATATGATGTTACTCCTTCTTGTCTAAGGAATCTAATATAAGGCCATGTGCATAATGAACACAATGAACTTGGTACAAAAATTTCAAAGCAATTTCATTGAGAACTACATCTTTTTATTGACCTTGGAAACTTTAGTGACAGGCCATCATATTTGTAAATGTGAAAGTAAAACTAGATAAACTTACCATTTGGGTGCCAGATTTCTGTAATGAATTTCATTTTAGGAGGCCGGAGGGGATAATCTTTTGGGAAAGTGAGATGAGCCTTAAAAACACCACCTTCACTGGAAAAAAAACAAAAACAAGTTCCTGCTTATAAGCAGACAATTATTAAAACAAACATAAAACAAAGGTGCTAGTGCTAATACTATAAATTAAGTAATGAATAATCTGGATTTCGAGCAGGTAATTTACTTACTCAAATATCCAGATTTAATAAACTGTTATACCTACCACCTTATTAAACTCTCAAAAAGCTAGTAAAATGAAAGAAATAGCTTAAAAAGACATCCAGATCAGGTCACATTATTGCTGTGCTACAAACCTTTCTATAACTTCCCATTGCATGTAAAACAAAATTTAGAAGGTTTAACATTGCCTCTACAGGTCAAGTTGTCAGTTTCTCTATGTGGACCTCAAACTATCACTCTTTCCATTCCAGCCAGTCTTCTTTCCATTCTTCAAACATAACACGCTCTTTCTCATCTCAGGCTTACGCACATTTTGTTCCTTATCTTTATGTGTCAGCCACTAGAAGTATATCAGTGAACAAAGTATAAAGTCTCTCAAGGAGTTCATATTCTGGTGACTTTCTAAAGTAGTCCTGTGCCGTAGAACTTTGCACACCCTGGAGATGTTCGATATTCATGTTATCCAATATGGTAGTCACCAGCCACTTGAAATATGGCTAGTGCAACTCAGGAACTGAATTTTTAATTTTATTTCATTTTAATAGCCACATGTGGCTAGTGACTGTTGCATTAGTGCAGTTCCAGAGCACTGCCATTTACTTAGAAGTGTTCCTGAAGAATTGTCAACATAATACAATACACTGTATATGTTAACAATGAAAACCAGTAAGATAGTCAGTCTTGTGGGGCAAAAATGCCTAGGTTCCTGTGTCCTTGGTACTAGCTGTTTCCGCTGTTTGAAATATTTTTTCCCTTGTCATCATTCAGAACTCAGCTTAAATGTTACCTCTTGAGAAATATTTTACTTGACTACTCAGTTTTGATAGGCCACTATGTCCCTCTATCACACTGGCCTCTTTTCATTTCTTTATTGCAACAGCAATTCACACATCTGATTCTTTTATTGTTCAAGGCACACACCATCAAAGCAGGGTCATAAAATTATGTTTGTTTCAGATCAGTGAGAAATGGAATTCTCAGGTCATTAAATGGTTTTCATTAATTGAACAAACATTGATTGTCTACTTGTACGAGATACTGTTCTATGTAAAAGAATACAACAGAGAACAAGACATTAGAGATCACTGGTTTCACTGCACTTACCATTCTAATAGGAATGGTAAATATCAATAAAAATATCAGTAATAAGTACTGGAATGATACAAGCAATCAATTGTTAAATTTAAAAAACCAAGTATCTACTGAATCAATTTGTCTTTAAAAGAAAATAAAGTTGGGGTATGTTTGTATACAAACAGAAAGGATTTTGGCATCTATTTCTTTCTGCTTTGTACATTTCAGTATTGCTTGACTTTTTAACCATAAGCGAGTATTAACTTTAATTGCCTTTTTCTGATCATAAAAGCAAGATTGGGGGGGAGGGTTAAAAAAGAGAGCGGTAGATCATTAATACCAAGTACTTCTGAACACAGAAAACACCACTGGACTCCAAGGATAAAAAGTAACCTTGATTAATACGATTTTGGTAAAAGCAACAGGAAAAAGACGGGAAAGGATTAAAGAAAGAATGAGGTGGTAAAATACAAGCATAATGATCAGGACAATTTGAGTTAACTGTTAAAGAAGATGGTAACTAGATGGGAAAATAGTATAAATGAAAGGCTTTAAAAGAGGGGAAAAACTTTTTTGCAAGTAGATGGAAAGGTGCTGACAGAAAAGACTAGAGATACTAGGAAAAGAATAACTGAGATATTAGAAGAAGAAAGAAAATAAGGGTAGTAAAAGGCCTAACCAAGAAAAAGAAAGGACATCTTTACCTTTTGCATAGGAAGAAAAACAGACTGAAGGTAGTACAGATATCCAGGGCAGAAAGGGGAGGAAAATGGCAAATTTTATGCCTTATTTGCCTTAACTTTAATAATTTATAAGACTATCTATTGAAGGGAAAATAGCATGAAGATGTGGAAAATGGAGACTGGAATAGCTGTTGTGAAGCGTGCATTACCCTGATAAAAAGATAAGTCTATTTTCTCAGCCTATGCTACCCCAACTGTATAAGTAGGTGCCAAAACTGGCCTTAAGACATATTAATTATATGAACTAGTTTTTCCAACTGGGGCTGCAAAACCAATCAAGTGAGTCACTAACCAGTTTTCTTCTTAAATAAACAGAATAAAAAACATAGGTGCTTATCACAAGTAATTTGTTTCAGTTATGTAATCTACCTACATGTTTCTATTCACTAAGATGTATACACTGAGTCATGATGTAAAATATTTATAATTATGGGTTGTTTAAAACAGTTTGAAAGCCACAAATACAAAAAACACCAAGAATCGATGTAAAAGGTCATTAAAACAGCTGCCACAAAGCCCAGGCACTTTATTCCACCAGTGAGGCTATTCCTCAATATTCAGTTAGCTTTCCTAGTTCCCTAAAATTTGATTGATTAGGTCCATTTGAAAGCTTTATGTTAGCTGATTGGAATCCCTTATCATGAAAAATTACCTAGTCTCTTAATTTATTTTCAATTTTAAAATGTCAATCAAATTTAATTAATAGCATTATCCTAAAACATTTAAAAAACACAATCTGCAATCTGTGCAATGCCCTCACCCATTCTGAACCAATTATGCTATTCTTATAGTTTTCCTCCTATAGGTAAACTCCTTAACATCTCTTTTTCCTGTGGAAATCTTACCTGTTTTTTTAAAAATCTCGCTCAGTAGTCCCAACTTGTGGGTGTAATTCTTTGGCGAAAGCTAAATTAGCTAAGTGCAACTAAAAAAACCCACAGGGCACAAACATTGTAGACTAAATATTGACATGTCATATATTCACTGTTTTTCAAATACACCTAGATGCTACTGTGATGAGCAAAATGAAAGTTTATTAAAAAGCATCAATGAATTAAAAACATCGTCTCTCTCATTATATCGGGTTGTCGGGAAAGTTATGACATATTTTTCCTATGTTTTTTGTTGCAAAAATGCATCATGACTTTTCTGACAACCCAAAATATTCTGTTCATCACAGATACTAACAGCACAATTACTAGCATGATGTTAAAAAGGGGTATGCAGGGGGTGGCCAGTTAGCTCAGTTGGTTACAGTGTAGTTGCTCATAGCACCTAGGTTGCCAGTTTGATCCCAGCATAGGTCACTGAGCTGCGCCCTCTGCAACTAGACTGAAACAACTACTTGACTTGAAGCTGATGGGTCCTAGAAAAACACACTGTTCTCCGCTCCTGCCCCCACTCCCCCTCAAAAAAAGAGGTATGCAACCAGGAGTTTCCCATTTGAAAAGGTTGAGAAACCTAGGCCTAGTTCACATTTGTTTCATGAGGCCTGGACTGTTTTTGTATTAAATTATAAAAATCTTTCAAGGATCAGATCCTATCATTCTGCCATCAAATGATGTACTGTATCTAGCCATTTGAAATTTTGTTCAACATTGTTTTTTTATATACATTCCTGTTGATACTTGTCTCTTGTTCATTTATTTTACCTGCCACACTGCACAATTTATCTATTATACTCATAAGACATTTGATTGCTTCCATTTCTTTATTTTTTTGCTATTACAAGCAATAGAACATTGAATATTCTGAACACTTCCTGGGCATAAAGTTTCTACCTTAGAAATGAAATACTAAGACAAAGTTTATAAGTAATTGTTCAAAGTCACACAGCTAATGAAAAGTGGTAGAGTCAGGGAGCTAAACAACGATAGTCCCCAAAGCCCATGTTCTTAAGCACTAAATGTTAATGACATGGCATTGCCATTGATCAATCAATTCCTAAGCAGTACAGGCACCCCCAAAATTTCATTACAGAATATATGACTTGTGCCTCTATGTCTTAAACAGAACTGTACAACAATTATGTCACTTTACAAGGATATTAATCAGAGAGTTTGGTTAGTCAACTCTTCATTTTCTGTATCCACTCAGGTTAGGCAATACTACAAAACACATATAACCTTAAGATTCTCCAAATTTTTACACCATTGCCAATGGTAAGAAACAAAACAAATGTTTCTTGAACAGACTAGCCATTAATGATGAAAGAAAAAGAGAATATGAGATAAAAGGTGTAAATTTGCCATTCACTAATATAAATCTATAAACTTTATAATTATAGTGATATCTGGGTCTCCCAGACTTTAAAAACCTACTGCCATTCCTATCTGAAATTTTTATTCCTGTAGACATGGGTGACTATCTACACTACTTGATAATTAGTAGTCTGAAAATAGCAAGTATATCACACCAGTTTCAGAATGTCTTTCATAGAAAGCCTCAAGAATCTATTCTTGACAACACTAGAAAGATTAATGGACAGAGTAATAAAAATTCAATGCTGTGTAAAGATAAATATAATGGCTAAATTAATACTCATGGCAACTATCAGTCTCAAATAAGGTAATGCCTGAATATACCAGTTATTGATTATATTATGAAGAGTGTGGACTGCCCTCTAGTGACTAAATGAAGGCTAATGATGCCGCCATAAAATATCACATCAGCTTTTAAAGAATGTTAGTACAGTATTAATTCTTCCTATTATGACAAATTATCTAATTATTAAGTGAAGAATTATTCATTTAGGTGTGAGTACCATCTGAGCCCACATTCACTTACTTTCAATCCTATGTTCCCCTCCCCCTGGTAACAGCCTCTCTGTGTCTCTTCCTAGGCAGTCACTTAAGGTCTATGTATTCACTCCTCAAACTGGAAGATGGCCTCCACCCTCTTCACTGAAATAACTACAAGAACACCAATAATTTCCTTACTGTTAAATCTACAAAAACTATTCATTGATTTTTGATACCTGATACTTGATTCTTAGTAACATTTTAGAAATCTTACTTCTATAAAAACTTTCCTTTCCTTATACCTTTCTAGCTAATTTCCTCTGCCTTTCTCAGGGTCCTGCCCTAGGCACACGTGCTCTCTCTCCTTTCCATACGCAAGGGCTGTTGATCTTCCTACTTCAAGCAGCCATGGGCAGTCCCCAAACTCCCAGTCCATTTTTTACGCTATAGATAAAGAAAAATTTTAAATAACGTTAAAAACACATTATTTTTGTTGCAGAAATAAAATACAAGTAAACTGGGGAAAATAAAATCCATAATCCCAAAGCTATGATACTTAGTAATTCAATGCACATTCTAAAATGTAAATTTAACTGGTAACTCCTGATGCAAACTTCCTCAATGGTTGTGCTTTGTCCTTAGGATAAAGCATAAATTCAAACTCTTTAACACTGTTTATAAATTTCAACTAGCCCTCAACTCCCTATCCAACTTCATTTCTTAAAATTCTTTATACTCACTTTATTCAGTCGCCATGTCCTTGGTTCCATCCCTTTTATCCAGGCCCTATGTAGACACAATTCTCCTTATAAAGTGCTTAATTCCTAGTTTCCCTTCCACCTACACCCCACTGCCCGCTCACTGCCTTTGCCAGAATATCTGTCTAGTTAATTCTTACCTTGCTGTTGACAGTCCAAAATCTCTTCCATCCCAGAATAATTAATCTAAACCAAATGTGGCAATTTCATTCATCTTGCCAGTTACTGGGTAATGAATGAGCAAATGACTCAATTTTGACAAATGAGACAAGCAGATTCCGCTGGAGAACTTCCAGAAAGAAAAAAAAAGGTTTCTACATTGTATAAGAAATACATAAAACACAAAAACAAACTACCTTCTCTTCTTTCTTTGGGTGATATTCTGAAATGCTCAAAACTGCTCTAAACATTTTGCTACCAGCGTCAGGACAACAAATTATTCAAAGTATTCTAAGCCAATTAAAATCAGATTTCTGTAGCTTGTAGCCAAAAAGTCTATAATACAGTTACTAACTCTTCAGTTCCCATTTTAGACATTTTTTCCTCTAGGACACCTGCTATGTGTTCCAACGAGTTCTCGTGATACCCCATGCCTATCACCATATCATGGCTATCATCAAAGTGTATTAAATGACTATGTAATGATCTGTTTTGCGAAATAAAGTGTAACCTCTTTGGGAGCAGTGACTATTAGCTAGTTCAAGGTCATGTTCCCAGCATCTAGCATAAGAGTACTCAAAAACTATTTGAGAACTAAATAAATGAGCAGTATAAATGCCAGTGTAATGCTTTATATTTGCAACCATTCTAAGTAGGACATTGCCAAAAGGGGTGGCCTAAATTTAATAAATTTTAAACAATAAATCTTAAATCTCTTTTTTGAGGGCTTTAAAAATAATTTTATAACTTCCAGCACATGAATTTTAGAAAAGGTCGTTAATAAAAAGAAATCATACCTGGATAATTTTGGATGCTTATTATAATGTCTGTCAACAGGTTTAAGGCTTCATTACTCACAGGATGTTCAAGTATCCGTGGCACTGAGGTTAAACTATAGCCCAGGTGCCACCAGTGTTCTCATCAGGAAGGGACAGTGCGGAAGTGGCTGCCACTTGTCTCATCAGTAACTGGTCCATACTCCAGAGGAGCTGTCACAAATGCTCTGCTATCCACAACTCAGATCAACAGCCAGCACTTTTAAAATGTATATGAAGGTCAGAAATAGGCTTTTATTGGTGGACATAATGGCCTGTTAAACAATGAGTATTAAAAAGTGGTTCTCTTGGTGAGCTGAAGGTACACAAAATATATATGGACCAGCTAATAATATTTAGAGATACTTGGCACGATTGCATGAAAAAAGTGTAAGAATTCTGTGAGGTCCTCAGAGATGGACCATAAGCCTGGATGCCTAACCAATCCTCTATACAGATATTAGTGAAGATATTTCTCCCATTATCTCATATCAACTGGAGAAGTAACAAGAGTCTATCACTGAATGTTGTTGTGTCTCTCCTTAGTAAACCTTCATGCAATGTGTTTCACTGCAAAACCTAGAAAAACAGACCTGAACTTCATTGGGCTCATAAACTGGGTTATATGTATGGTTTTGTATACAAAATTTGGTAAGAAATTACCTTTCAAATAATATTAAGGTTGTGGAGGAATACTTCTGGAACGGTTTTCAATGGCTATTATTATCTACACCAAACTAAAACTGTGGTTTGTGGTTATTTTAAATTGAGTTATTTTAGTTTACAACAACCAATGCAAACATACCACTGAGAAATACATTAGCAAAAAATTTGATTGGCAATAAAACATTTTTAAAACTATAGAAAACCCAAAAATCCAAACTATAGCTCAACTCTGTATGTTATATACCAATCTCTAGCTCTGAGTTTTCTTTTCCATCATGTTTATGGTGAAAAGAAGTTACCATCTTAGAACACCTAAAATGAAAACTACTCGACCACCACAAAAAAATGTTTGATGTATCCAAATCCTTGCTAGCTTGGTACCATCAAGGACCACGGCTGAGTGAGAAAGTGTTGTCCCCAAGAAACTCAGATCTATATCTGTCCCTACTGTATTTTCTTCCAATACCTTAACTTCTATATAAAGTAAGGAACTTGTACCAGTCAGATACAAGATAATCATGATCCCTTTTATAGAACAGTAAATATTAGGAAGTTTAAGTTAGTCTGCAAACACTTGGAGCAGAAAATAAGGCTGTTGTCTCTGAATCTAGAAATGCATTACATAAAATATTTAAGAAATTCCATCTATTTTTTTCTATTGTTCTTTGATACCACTACATTCTATTATCTATCTTTACATCAGTTAATAGTAATTAATTAAAAATGATTAACAGTAATAATTGCTTTTAAAAACTGGGAAAAGGTGGCCACTAGTTCATTTTAGGGTGAGAACACCTTTGTTGTGACCAGTATTTCTGCAGGGACCCAAGAGAACCACTAAGCCTGATGATCCCGAAAGTTGCTTCCAGCCTGCTTGAGACACCAATGTGTACACTATGCTCTGTATGAAATCTCCCAGGTGTAATACTATGCTTTCATTAAACTGATAAAAGTGTTAAGAATGGTAAAGCCTTATCTTCAAAATTATAATGTTCCCTTTTCAGGCAAGGCACAGTAAGCACAGGGGAAGGGAGGAGGGAGAAGCATTTCAATAAAGAATTTTCTTCTTCCCCTAATCTGCCAAAACTAATCCGATTTCTGGGATACAAGTAACACATATATATTTATATATAACCTCACCTTAAAGATAGCTTTTCTGTAATAAATTTATTCTAGATATTGAACATATCTGAATTTCTGAAACTATTATATATTTAAGAAAGCAAAGGTTTTAGACATTAGACTTTCAAACAGAATACAAAAGCCCAGACATCCAGTACAAGTAATACTAATTACAGCCATATCACCTGCTCTTTAAAAAATAATTTCACTTCAGTTTGCCAAAATAGTTTACATTTCAATTAATTAAAAGAGCTCCCCTTTGATGTCAGTTCCATTGTACTTACTAAAGTGTATCTGGAGGACCAATAATAAGGACTTCCCATCGGTAGAGATCATTGTCATCTATTAAACCTGCTGAAAAGCCTTCCACTGGATTTTTGTTGAGTTCTGTGGAGAAAGAAAAATTTGATCAAAACTTTTAAGCACATAATTTTCACCCAACAGGTAGACTACAATACTTGAATATATATGTTATAAATTGTAAACTATTAAATGGATATACCTGAATGCATTAGCAAAATGCTACCTGATGACCAAAACATTTCTGATACTCTAACAGAGGAAGCAATGGGTAAAGCAAAGTACCCAGAAGACCAACTTCTACTGCCCTCTTATTTCTATTCTACCCTGATTTCCAGCTAGGTTCTTACCATTCTAGGTAGCTCTGTAGTGGTACAGAGGTACAGCAGTGTAGAGACCTCGTTAAAATGCAGATGTCCAGGCCCATCTTTCAGAGACTCTGCTTTGAAAGGAAATCAAACCAGTACCTCTGCTAATTTTTATTCTGTGTTCTTTCAAAAACACCAACAGAGTGCCTAACACCTTTTCCTTGGAATTTACTGAACTTAACCAACCTTCATTTGTACTAATTATCTATATACCTATTTGACAACTCCTCTGTATTCTTGGGGATACACGCCTACTGTTGATGTTCATGTGTGGCCCGTCGGACTCTGAGCATAGAGAGCACAGGCTCCATGTGTGTCCTGCCTGTATTTTGACCCCTCTGCCCTTTCAGAACACAGGAGTGGCTTAATAATAATAATACCTGGAGCCTACAATCATGAGATTTTTCTCTTCCAGAGAGAGTGCTCTGGCATGAATGGAGGATGATAGAGGTTGGGGATAAGAGCAGAGGTAAAGGACTAATGAGGTTGGGGGACAGAGGCCAAGAGGGGACTTTAGAAGAGCAGGTGAGGAGGAATGCAAAGTCTAAACAGTTCCTGGAGACAAAGGGCTTAATAAAGTAATGATCTATTGATGGTGGACACCATGTAAGGAATTTAACAGCTTTAATGAGTTATAATTGACATTCAGTGAACTACACATATTTAAAGTATATATATATATATATATACACACACACACACACACACACACACACACACACACACACCTGTGAAACCATCGCAATTATGATAATATATAAACATGTGCATATATCACCAACAGGAAGCTCAAACGGAGCACTGACTGGCTGAAAGTGGGAAGTGGGGGGATAAAGTACACGTAAGAGGAGAGTAGCTCAGAAAGAACTTGCTGAAAGTCAGAACAGGTTTGTAATTCTCATATAACTTTTGCCATCCTCTTCAAGGAGGTCGGTCTAATGATAAAAGTAAGTATAATACAACTCAAAGTACTATAAAAGATTGAACAAAGTGTGTTAGTAACTGAGAAGATATTAATTTATTGAGGAATCAGAGGTGGTGTTATTTCAATTAGGATTTAACACCCCAAAATGCCAGTGAAGCAGGGAAAGAGCCAAAAGTGAAAGTTTATTTACATTTAAACATGAATGGCATCTTTTCTCAAAATTTGAAGGGAGATTTTTTTGTAAGTCTAATACTTTTGTCTAACAGGCAAAGTAGACTTTTATAAATAGTTTTAACCCTCCGTCGGGCAGAACCTATCTCACAGATTCACTGCACACAAATTTTCAAATATCTAATAGTTAACTGTTAGATATAAATTAAAATTTCATTCTGAATAAATAAGCATGTTTACATGTTATTTTAACAAGCATATTACATGTTATATTCATAAATAAGTGTCATACATGCATCTAGTAGATGTATTGCGCCCAAACTCGTAACTTTTGCATTGTGCCCAATGGAGGGTTAAATCAGTACTGTATTTCAAAAAAGAAGAAAAGCATTATAGTTTTAAATATCCTAATACGTAAAAAAAGAAAACTGAAAATGCAAAGACATTAAAATAGGAATTACATTTTAATCTTGTTATTTTGTTTATGCATGCAAACATTTACTGAACGCCAACTATGTTGCAGAAATACAGGAAAAAAGATGCAAGTCACACTTTTACTGTCAGTCGAGGGATAGGGTAGAGCACAAACAACTGCAAAACGGGCAGTTATTTTTCTACACCGAGTTACTATCTTATTTCCAACCTTTTTCTAGATAAACACTATTATATTACTTGGACCATTTTCTCTAACACTCTATACAAGAGTCTTGTGGAAGACGCTCTAACTTATCCAGAAATCACCTAATTGTTGCATTTTCTGTCAGAAGTCTAGTGGAGTTCTATAAATGTAGGTGGGTAAGCTTTGAAATGAGCATATATGGTCAAAATTACCCTTGAAAATTTCCTGACACTTCCCAAAAAGTGTATCATCACTCCTCACTAAGTTATTAAAATCTTTTGCACATTCTTTCCAGGCTTCTCTTCTATAGGAGTGAGTGTGTCCACCTGTTTCATGTAACACAAAAATAATGTTGAAGAATGTCCAACATCACAATTTATCATGGCTTTTGTCCTTGGCATAGATCCTCATAGATCTAGATCCATGGATACTTAACAGGTTTAGTCTACCTATAGTTTCAGATCGTTACCATATGTTCATGAACACTTCCTTCAAGGTCCAGTTCAAGTACCATCTTCCCTCCATGAAGCCTTCCCTAAATAACTCATCAAATAATCTTCTTTTGACTTCTGCTAAATTCCTATAATTATACTTTTAGTTTGTACTACATCACCTGGCACTTAACTATCCGGATTCCCACAGAAGTAAACAGGGAATTACAATGTGTAGCTGAAACATTAGTACAGGAATTTGGAGGGGCACAAAATTATAATCATGAAAACACAGACAGGGCTTCTAAAAAGAGGAGACATCTGAAATAAGACAAAAGATTCAGGTGGAGAAGCACAGGGTTAGACATGGGAACATGTATCAAACCATGAAATATGGAGATCAGTATATGGCTAGAACAAAAGGGGGCAGGTGCAGTTAAAACTTGACAGGATGTCAGGAGCTGGACAGCAAAGAGTCTTTGCAAGCCATGTAAATTTGGATTTTATCCAGAAGGCTATCATGAGCCTCTGGGTTTGTGTTTTGTTTTGTTTTGTTTTTAAAACAATGAAGTAACTTCATGAGATTTCCATTTTCAAAAACCAATCTTGCAGTGTGTGAAAGGTGACATAGAATAAGGTCATGGTGATGACAAAGAAAACAAAAAGGAAGCTATTCAAGTAATCCTGGGAAGTGTAACTTTAGTATATGGTAGTGGGAATAATGATGGAAAACAGGGATATTTAGGAGATAGACTCAATCAAGCTTGGTGATGTGGTGGTTAACATAATAAGTAAAAAATCACACAAAATTCCTCAAAAAGTTAAACATAGAGTTACCACATAACCCATCAATTCCACTCCTATGTATATACCCCAAGAGAAATGAAAATATCTGTCCAGTCCACATAGGAAATTGTACACAAATGTTTATATAGCACCATCATTCATAATAGTCAAAACGCGTAAACAACCCAAATGTCCGTCAACAAATGAATGGATAAACTAATTATGGTATACACATGCAATGTTATATTAGTCAACCATAAAAAAGGGAGTGAAATACTGACACATGCTACAACTTAAAAGAACCTCAAAAACGTCAGGCTAAGTTTAAGAAACCAGAGACAGAAGGTCCCATATTTTATGACTCCTTTAATATATCCAGAAAAGGCAAATTCACAGAGACAGAAAGCAAAATAGAGCTTACCAATGGATAGGGAGAGGGGGAAATGGGGTGTGATTACTTAATGGGTATGGGGCGGGTTTGTGGGGTGATGAAAAAGTTTTGAAACTAAAGAGAGATGGGTAGTTGCACATTGTGAATACACTAAACACCACTGAACTACATACTTTAAAATAGCTAATTGTATGTTATTTGAATTTCATCTCTATTTTTTTTAATGACAAACAGGTTGCTGTACAGAGCAGCTGGGCAGGAGTACGTTCATTCTCTGAAATGGGAAATGCGAAGATGTGCTGATTTGAGAGGTAAGGAGAAGAAATGAGGACAGGTTTAATTTTAAATGCCTGAGGCATACATGTGTTGCTTTAAAAAGAAATTTGAGCTAATGACAGAGGTTTGGGGTTTATCACAGCATTGCTGATAACTGAAGTCATAACACTAACATCATTCAAGGATGAGCATTAAGTGTAAACCATGGAGGATCTAACTGAATGAATTCTAGAATACCAGTATTTAGGAGATAAAAAAAGAACAGGCTACAAAAGTGACTAAGACTTAGGGTAAGACAGGAGTAGGAACAAACCGAGGAAAAAGCTGTGTCAAAGAAACCAAAGGAGATGCATTTCAAGGAGGAAGTTGCCACCAATGATATATACACACTGCTCAGGAAAGAGGGGTCTAAATCCAGTCCACTGGGATCAGGAAAAAGGCCAAAGACTGCCTTAGGCATAAGTAGTTTCAATGTAATGGCAAGACAAAGTCCATGCAGGAAACACTGAGTTGACAAAAGAAGGTGAAGTAGGTACCAGAGTGGCGCGTTGGTTAAGAGCTGGCTTGGGACGCCAGAGGACCCCGGTTCGGATCCCACATACAAGGGCCAGTGACACTGCCCTCTACAGCTAAGATGCTGAACAACAGCTCAACCTGGAGCTGGGCTGCCGTGAGTCTCCGGCGATGGTGTAGGCTGCAGCCACTGCTACAGTGGGTTGCCATGGGCTGCCACGTGTAGCCAGCGTGAGCGGCCAGCAGCCGCCGTGAGCAGCTGTCCAGAAGCCAGCGACTGATCAGCCTTGCCCGGGAAGAGCGCAATGATAATACCAACATGGGCCAGTGAAACAACATCCTCCACAACTAGACAGAACAAAAGGACAGCAACTTGTCTGTTCCCCTTCCCCTGATTCCCCAGCGCTGTTCCCATCCCCCAATTACCCAATAAAAATCTTAAAAAAAAAAAAAAGAAGAAGAAGCTGAAGTAGAAAAATATGAACAGAAACTTTTCCTAGAAGTTTGTGGATGGAAAAAGGTAGTAGCTATAGGTAGATAAAATTAAAACAGTTTGTTTTTAATGGGAAAGGCCACAGAAAGATGTTTAAATATCCTATTTGCTTTT